CCCTCAGACGAGCGAGTTTCCTGACCGAAACAGCCGCCTTTGAAACCCAAGCGCCCTAACCGGCTGCCGAAATCCACGAGAAAATATTCCCGAGCCTGGGAATGAACCCGGTCACCTACCCCGAGGGTCTCCTGCAAGCTGTGTCCTGAGGGAAGCCGGGGTATCGGCCTGTTCCACGCCCCCCGCCACCCTTGGTGTAAAGAAGCCCCTTCTGTCCTGGTCAGCTGATCTCATCCGGCGGTTTCTGAGAAGCAACCTGGGGCCTCGGCTTCGACGACGTTTCTGGGCATGCCTGTTCCACACCCCCGCCACCCTTCGGGCAAGGGAGCGCTCCCCGTTCTCAGCTTTCAACGCGCGTCCCTGTGGGTTCTCCTCTTTTCCGGACTGGAAAACGTTTCAGTCTCTCCGGTCTGTCAGCGCCGGACACCCCTAGGCGACCAAACCTGAGCAGGGTATTTTAAACGAGACCTTTACAAGTGCGCTGTGCAATTTTAACACACTGGGGGGGGGGCGCCTCCTGATTTCAATTTCGCGCTTTTAACCCCACGTCGCAGTTTTGTGTGTCATATTAAAGCTTGGATTTATACACTGATGCGTGTTGATACTTTTTAAAGTGTATTTTCAGTACGAAAACTGTACTAGTTGTTAATCGCAACAGTATTTTGGCCCCGTTCGCCGTATTCTGCGCTGTTTTTGTCCTGATTGTAGACTTTTCTCTGTTTGCGTATTTGCACACTTTCTGACACTTTTGCACTGGCACCTAGCTGTTTGTCCACACTGTTACTGTTATTGTGTTATTGTCTTGTCTGCTGTTGTATTTATAGACCGCAACCTGGGAGACTCGTGAGAAACACTGTTCGCTGTACTGTGCCCCCGTGTCAGTTTAATGACAAATAAAGTTGAATTAATTTATTTTGAACAGGGCCTTCCTGTTCCTGCCTTGTGAAGGTATTCACCACAGTACAGTTCTTCTCCGGCCTGAGGCCGCGGTGTTGTTGTAATATACAACAAGATACAACAACACTCTCTACGGGTACAACGTGTGGCGGGCGTGGAAACCGAACTCGGCCTCCTCTCACCTGCCGCGTCTCTCGCCACCGTCAACACCCAGACACCTGTCCACGCCACGCCACGTCACGCCACCAGCCCCCCAGAGATACAATGCCGGCGGGCGAGCGAGAACCGTCACGCAGATACACAGCGCCAACGAGCCGTGTCTTTGCCCACTTCCGGGGCATTTTCTCGCCTCCTGCGTGTTGTTCTGTGTCGCTTTTTTTTTAACACGATTAAAAGGTGCCGGGCCGGAGATTGTGGGCACTTTCGGGGGGCACTTTCACTCCGAAACGCGCAAAAAGAGCGGGAAGCGCCGATTGAATGGCGTCGATTGACGTGACGCACTTGAAATTAGTCTTCATGGCCGAACCCCGTGATTGATGGGGCGAGCCGAGCGCCCGTCACTGCGATACCCCTAGTTTCTAGAACAGTCTCTAGAGAGCGTGTGATTATTGATCTGGAGCCCCTAGAGCCGA